TTTCAAAAAATAAGCAACGACTAATGTTTTTAATTTTTAACCAGGTGGTAATTTTTTTAGATTTCCCCTTACATAATTAATATAAAATCTGTTTTTAGTATAAATCATTACTTGTATATTAGTCAGGTTCATATATTATGATTTAGTCTATTTTTTTATACATTGCATTAACGTAAATACTTTTGTAAGATTTCTCATCATTTTTAACTTCCCGAAGGAGTTTATGTTTTCATAAAAAAATCCGATTCGCTAATTTTATGTTTTCTCGACATTTCAAGCCATTCTGAATCGAATGAGACCAAATTTGGAAAAAGTATGTGAGTGTATGTGTGTGTGTATGTGAACAGATTTTTTGCCGTAAATCAACGTTTTCTCAAAAACGGCTGGACTGATTTCAAAAATTTAAAAGCCATTCGATGTATCTCGATGAGGACTAGGGTTTTTGAGTTTTGTGCGACGATCGGCCGGGCCGTTTCTTTGTAAATCGCAGAAAAGTGAAAAAATTTTCGTCCACGTTCACGCCCGCAATTCTGAATTGATTTTGAAAATTCAAAAACCGTTCGAAAGATATTAGTTGGGAATGATACTAATCAGTTTTAGGTGAAAATCTACCGAGCCGTTTTCTTGAAATTAACTGTTGAAAAAAAAATTGAAGCCGATTTTTATGGAACTTTTTTTGGCAACATATATCATGATCTTATAGAACTTACTGAAATATTGCGGCCTTACGACAAGTAATTTAATTTTAAAAAATCATCAAAGTTTGAGAAAATGAGTAGTTTTTTTGACGTTTGTTAAAATTAAAATTCGACGATTTTCTTGGTATAACGATAGAGTACTTGGTCTTTATGAACATACTAAACCATTAAAGTCCTACGGAAACTGGTTCAATTATAAAAATTATTGATTTGTGAAAATTTGCTTTTAGAAAATACTTCGTTCGTTCGTTTTCAATTGTGTGTAATTAATCCACTCGGAATACTTCTAATTACTCATATATTAATCTATTTCTTATTGATTAAGTCGATTATTTACACATATCGGGAAGTTTATGTAACTTGCCTTAAGGCTAAATACCAATACCAACTAGTTTGTAGATATAGCCGCGTTATTGGTGAAAACATTACGTTGTGTATTATTATTAAATTAAACATACAAATATTAAATATTATTGTGTGGTTGTCTGGAGTATGTAGTTCTATCCCACAAGAACAATCTGCTATTTAAAAGAGTCATTTAAGCGTTATTTCGTTTATTTGGTACTTTGTTACTTTTTAAGCCATTTTTGTTATCTTTGTATATTTTAGTTCTGCTTTTTATAACTCCGTGCTCAAAAACAAAAACAAAACAAAATTTCGGTTCCTATATCAACAAGTGTTGTATAAATCATTTTCCACTTTGGGTTTATGGGTCCATTCGCCAATCGTGCCGTGCTCGTGCCATCCCCGAAAATGTATGTCTAATGGCGGAACTCCGCCTTCACCCCGATGCCGATAGAATATAGAGACAAGACCACGCCTTTGAATGGGTCCATTAGTGGCATATTCGAGAAAAATCTCAAAAATACACGAAGGTACCGCGAAAGCGAAAGTTCAGGGATTTTAGGAAATGTTGGTCAAAATCAGCTGGAGCTGTGAGGTTGAATCCCACTTTAATGTACGATATTTCTTTACCTTTTAACACACTTATCTAATTTTTCAAAATTTTGAATTACGGTACGGGAAGTTCCAGCAATCTGTCTTAAGGCACGATGCCATTCACCACTAGTTGCGTTTTAGTTAAGGAATTTTAGGTCATTTTTAAAGTGTCGTAAAAGAAAGCAATGAATGTTTTTACTATCCATTTTTTGCCACTTGTTTATTAATATTATTAAAATACAAAACAAAAATTAAAAAATAAAAAAGTTAAAAATTGTAAAAACTGGCAACTGATGAAGTGGTCGGTCTCAAAAAATTGGCACCTCAGTCTTGACATGATTTCAGCCCTCCTAGCCATCGGAAATGCAGAAAATAAAAAGATTATTAATCTACAATGATGTCGCAATCGGCTGAATTAGCGATGAGTAAAAAAAATTTTTTTTCACAGATTGGCGACTGTTTGAAATAAAAAAGTTCTTTTTTACTGTTTTTTTGAGTTTCTCGAATTTTTTAAAAATACTAAAAATAGGAATTTCGGGATGATTCTAGTTTCTAGATTCTAGTTCAGACTATAGATAGATCTATAAACAAGACTATCTGAAAATTTCAAATAAATTGGTCGAGTAGAACTCCAGAAATCGTGACAAGAGTACTGAAAAAGTAAGTTCTGAGAAAAACGCATTTAAAGTTTTGCGTGAAGCCAAACCAGTATGGAGACCGAATCAGTAAAATGCCTATATCTCCAAAAATAATTCAAATTTTCAAAAACCTTCTCGTACCCATATTCTTGGATAGTTAAACTTTGAAAATATGAAATAAAAAAAATCGATTTTTTTGAATTTCTACACTAGAATACCCCCTTAAAATAACGTGCTGTGATAGAGCTCTGACACTACCATAACTAATATTTACATGAATTAAATATAAATGAGTTGAATTTGTTAAAATGTAATTGAATTTGTAATTATATTTGTTTTTAATTTTTCAATGCGTGATGTCCATTTTCAATCGATTTGAGTTTATAAATATGCATTATTATAAGCGTAAATTATTACATTTTATACCATTCAGGCAGCCGGCTTGCAATTATTTTTAATAACTGTGCAAAAGGTCGTAAAATTATTTAATACGTGTCAGAAGCCTGACTTGAGACTATTTATAAGTAGACGACGACGATGGCAGTAATATATGCATGGCGTTGGAAAAGAAAATCAACAAGAGTTTATTAAAATAAGAATTTCTTACGGTGACCACCGACACATGCAGTGTGTAGTTTGTGAATATTTATTATTCCTTTATTAACTCGCTTATTATTATGGGTTTTTGCTTTGTATGTTCATTTGCTGAGAGAGGCCAGGCCGGGGAGTTGCGTTTATTGAGCAGAATGCTAATCGAAATGCTTGATCTTCACACACGAGTTGTTCTACTTCCTCTACTCCAGACACTAAAAGACCCTTTTTGTGTATTTTTTTTGTTCTCTTCCCCTTCATTAAATATGTTCTTACGATAAAAAATATAGAGTCGGAACTTATTTTTTTTAAAAGCCGGTCTTTGTATGATATCTATGTCTCTACCGAAATATTAGTTCCATATCATATTGTTATTTAAATTTGATGCAATTTAAATTTTTTTTATTAGTATTTTTTTATTCCGGCAGAGATATTACTGCATCACAGGGCAGTTAATACACTTTTGCGATACTTCATTGAATTTTTGTTTCCATAAGAAAGGTTACAGTTATATACTTAAGCTTAGGAAATGCAATACCGATGGAAAATTTCAATACCGGTATTTCGGTAATTTTTCATTTTAAAACCGGAATACCGGTAAATTACCGGTATTTTTATTATCTTAAACAAACGTAAACAAAATTGAAAGTTACTAGTACAAATATAAAAAAATGTATATACAACTACAACTATATTTAACTAAACAATAAAAACAATAAAATAAAACAATAAGTTTATTTTAACAAAATATATATTAGTTCATTATCACTATTGAGTATATTGAGTACTTTTCACCAAAAACAAACTTATGAGTAAGAAAGACCAAAAACTCATAAAATATCATATTACATTATTATAATAAACTGTATCCGATGTGTTAAATAAGCATAATCTCCAATATTTAAAAAAAATAATTTTTCTGCACTAATTTAAGATCGGATTCTTTGTCGAGATAAATAATAAGCTACTATAATTGTTGAGTATTGTTATTTAAAACAATGTGATGCTTCTATAGTATTTCAAACTTCGAAACGTTTTCGAAAAATAATATTTTATAATTGTAATAAGAAGCAAAAAATATTTAGTTAGTAATTATCATAATTATTATGTATAAAGTTAGAAAAAAATAAAGATTACGCAGGGGTAATCTGTATGATATAACATATTTTGGCGCAAATATCACTTAAAAAACCGTTATATTTTTACAAAAGATGAAACAAACATCATTATCTACCAGTTCAATTCTATTTATTGTAACACGATATGAAGCCCTTTGGAAAGCAATAAATATTCAGTTTAATGGCGAGTTGAAATAATATTTGATATTTTTTTATCTTATAGAATCACTTGAAGATGTAGCTGTTTATACAATTATGGAATTTAAAGATGAATTTGTTCCGAGAAATTTAAACTTTAGGGTATTATGTATCAAATAGCGCGCTTATGTAAAAATACCGAAAATACCGGTATTTTTGGAATAAAAACTGGAAAAATACCGCCGAAAAATCGGGCGGTTTACCGGTATACCGGTATTGCATTCCCTACTTAAGCTTATAGTTTAATGTTCTCCTGTATTGTGGCATATCGTGCATATATATGAAGTTCTTAAAGATTCCGTATTTTATAATTTATAATATTATTTTCATTGGTCGATCTTTAAAATAAATTGGTAGATCGTTTTATACTCGTCTATCGACATCTGGTGTTTTTGAGCCGCGTTGCATTATACTATACTCGTATCATTCATACAAGCACCGTGCACCTGGCCTTTTGTAATGCAAGAATGCTGTTTTAAATTTAGTACCAATAAAGGTATTTTGGATTCAAATTATTGTTTTCACATAGTTGGTGATTATATACCTTAGAATATAATTAATATATAATTTAATTCGGTCATTTTCGTATGTATTTATTAAAAAAAAAGTAATAACAGCGTAGATGATATCGATGTCATCTTGCTTAGCTTTAGGATTTTTCCTCGTTTATTGTGAATGGTCTATAACATTTTTTAAATTTTTTTGAAATTTGGGCTCTTTATAATTAGGTTATTTTTGTGTATTGAAAAATGCATTTTATTTATTTTGTTTTTATTTTTTGTAGGCTTTGCAAGCGACACCTACAGTTGCAGCGTCGATCTGCTCGCAGTGTCTCGGCACAGAGGCGAAGAATCCTAAAGGAGTCCCTGAAGCCCTCAGCCGCTGCTCTGGGTGTTCTGCTTCAGTCCATCTGTCCTGTGCGTGGAAAGGATCTGAACTATCTAGTCTTCTCGAAAAGGTAGATAGACACAAATATTTAAATATACAGTAGAATCCGCTTAGTATGACATCGAAGGGACGCCGAAATTTCGTCATACTAACCGGTTGTCATATAAAGCATACTGAAGAAAAACTTTTTAATATTTAAATATGTTACATGTTTCAGTAATTTAAAAGAAAAGCCTATACATATATTTTAATTAAAAATAAAAATGACACGTATTAAAATTTAATATAAATTAAAATTGACATAGGGTAGGGCGGGGCACTAAGGTCCAATTTGACTTTCAGTAATTATACTGTTTAAACCCAATGAACAACCTTGCAACACATGACACACATCAAGCAAGCATCTATCGAACTATGTACAGAAAAAATTTCACATAATTCCTAATTATATAAATATTATTTTTTTTTTACTATTTTTTTTAAATTTGGTATCTGATCCATTTTACCTCACATACGGGGTAAAGTGGGACAACCAGGGAGAAAACAAATGCAATTTCTTCTATTAAAAATATTAATTCTGTGGGTACATTTGTTACAAAGATAACACAGTATATTACATTGATCTGCTATTGGTCAGAAATATTCATCAGACGAGCCGGAATAACAATTTATTTAATTAATTTCTTGTAAAATTGCTTTTTTTTAAACTTTACTATTTCATTGCTTACACCTTTGCCAAAGTAAAGGTTCTGCTGGTCTTTTTATCCCCTCATGTGCTGCTTATCTTCTGATAGCAAAGTCATAAGAATAAAAGTGATGGCTGGTTATGAATTTATACATTTTTGCCTTGTACTATCAAATATTTTTGTTGAAAAAATCTAATTTTGTTTGTTCACGAGATATCCGTGGTGGACCATTAATAATTGGTCTACCCTATCCATAAACATACAAATGTGATTTTTTAATGTAAGTAATCAGTAATTTTTGATTGACTTCTTTACATAATTTTATGGTAAAAACAATTCCTAGTGCTATTGTGCATAAAAGACATAGCAATTGCTTTCGTAGACTTGGCCACATCATGTAAAATCATGCCGGTCATTATAATTGGACATAATTTTTTGCAAAAATGGGTCATTATAAGCGACATGTCAATGTAAGCGATGTCAATATATCCGACTAGACAGCTGTTTTTTTAAAGAATTTTGTATGGAAACCAAACTTCCTAGTGCGATTACGTCATAATAAGCGGTTGTCAATATATCCGGTGTCATACTAATCGGATTCTACTGTATATACTAATGAATTGGCACCATTTTCACAAAATAAGTACCAGGAAATAAGAGTTTAACTATAATTCTTTTATTAGGGTGGCAAGTGGTTCTGTGAAGATTGCTCGCAATGCGCAGCATGTTCAGAAACTGATGTCTCTCCGTGCCTTCTTGGATGTTGCTCTTGCGAACGGAACTTCCACATAGCATGCTTGGATCCGCCTGCCGAGAAAAAACCGAAATGCCCCTGGAGGTAATTTCATGAACAGATAATTGAAGTAATCTAAATAATAGAATTAGAGAATATAATATCTATTTAATTTAATATAGGTGCCGCCATTGCCTTTCCCACCATGAAACTCCAAAACGGAGTCAAACATCGACACCTGTATTGGGACTAAGTAGTAGTCGGAGGAAAGGAACGAAATGTCGTGATAAAATGGATTCTCGTGCAATAAGGTAAAAAGATGCAGATATAAACTGAATTAAATGTGAACAATGGTTAAGCTCAGTAAGAAGCTACTTAT